TCATCTACACCAACGTGCCGGCCGACTATATGTATGTATATATATGATCTGATTTGTCGTTGATTTTGACGACGACTTCTGTGTGGTCGCCAAAGTCAACGGACTGGGTCATGTGATTTTGGTTTTGTGCAAAAGAAGTTGGTGATCTGTAGCCTTTTTTGAGCTTTGTTCGGATTGTGATTTCCTGAGTAGGGCTGTAATCGAGCCGAGCCGAGTAATGGGCTGTTAGAGCTCAGCTTGATTATACATCAAGGTGTTTGAGCTCAGCTAAAAAATGTTCAGAACAAGTTCGAGCCAAGCAAAGCTCATTAACGATGAGGCGCAAAACATACTTATCATATATATATGGTAAAGTGCAAAAATAAATCCTAGAACTATGCCCCATTTAGCAAATAACCCCCTCTGAACTACAAAAGTGGCCAAAAACCCCTTGAACTAATCATTTTGGTTGCAAATTGCCGAGTCCAGCCATTGGCCGATTGAATGCTAGTCATGTGACAACCTAATTTTAATTAAATGACCATACAACCCTTGAGAGCAAAAGACCATTGTGCCTTTTTTATTTCTGTAGACCCAAACCCAACCAAATGTTGCCCTATTTCTCTTTCCTAAAACTCCCTTTTAGACCGTCTTGCTCGATCTCTCGATTGAACCTACAGGATTCTCTATCTTTTTTATGAATGACGTGCGACTGTCTCTTTGTGTATACACACACACATATATATACCATATATACCCGGTTCTCTCTCTCTATCTATTTGGAGATTTGGTTGTTTATGAGACCATGCATGAGGGATGAGGTTGAAGATAAAAGTGGGAATTACGCCGAAGATTTGATTGTCGTCAAAGTTGAGTACAGTGAGTTGAGTCAGTTTGCTGATGTCGGAGGGAATTGCATCAGTCAATCAGTTTCCGAAAAGGTCAATAATTCTAAGATTAGCAAGGGAGGTTATGCACGCTGGAATTTGGCCGAAGATCGCTTTCCAGTCGATTCTGGCATGTTCCCTCTCCAATCATTCCACCTCGTTGCCGTGTTTCCACCAAATTTAATGACGGCTATGGTCGTAAGCAAACTGAATGATATTTTCCATATGCACAAACTGAGATATCATGATATAAACCTTAATTAAATCATTGACGAGTGAACCTCTGGACTTTGTTGTTGTCGCTGCTGCTTGTTCATTCCCAACGGGAATGTTTTATCCGGAACAGAGTTCCATACATACGTCTATATATAATTTTATGGTATATACTATATATAGGGATGACAAAGTTTGACACTTGAACAAAATACGAGTTAAACGGGTTTGGATTGACCTTAAATGGGTTCGGGTCATAAACGGATCAACACGATTAAACCATTTGGTTAATCGATTCATGTTTGGGTTGAGCTGGTTCAACCCGTGTAATCTGTTTAACTATACGTTTCATAAACAAATTTATATTTAAGTTTCAAAATAACTACCTAAACTCGTGTCTTATAATTTACTCTTTTGTAGACTATTGACTATTTAATAATTTGGTTGGATTGAAACTTGTATTTTTCTAGTATTTATTGCTTGATTGAGCATTATTAATAATTTAAATAATATGATTTTTTATTTAAGTAAATAGGTCATTAATTGGGTCCCATGGAAGATTATATGGCTCTCCAAGGCTCCACTTAGAGCGGTATTCTTTGTCCGGACTGCCGTCTAGGGTAAGATTTTTTTTTTTTTTGATAAGTAAAGATGTATTAGAAAGCGTTCAAGAGCTGTACAAAAACCCAAAAAAAAAAAAGGGAAAGAGGAAGACCTATGGACCCAAAGACCTGTCTGGGGTAAGATCTTGACGCTGGACAATTTGAGGAAGAGAGGCAATACCATTGTTAATTGGTGTTGTCTATGCAAACGAGATGGTGAATCTGTGGATCACATCTTTATGCACTGTCCTGTGGCATATGATTGTTGGAACCTCATCTTCGGCTTATTTGGCATGCATTGGGTAATGCCTCAGTCTTCCAAAGGTCTGATTAACGCGTGGAGAGGATGCCAAGTGAGTAGTCACGCTTGCGATTATTGGAGGATAGTTCCACACTGTGTTTGGTGGTGCATATGGAGAGAGAGAAATAGCAGAATTTTTGAAAGAAAGGAATTGCCTTTGGCGACCTTGAAACTTCATATTCTTCGCTCTATTTTTTGTTATGCGAAAGGAAGAACTTGCTCCTTTACCGCTGACTTAGTTGTTTTTTTGGGCCCTTAGATTCAGCTTCCGTTTTTGTATTAGGGACGCGTTCCCCTTTTAAACACTCTTTTAATCGATTATTACTTATCAAAAAAAAATTTAATCGGGTTACACGTGTAACCCGTTTAATAAATAGGTCGGTTTAGTGTTGAGGGATCTTGAAACGAATATTCAACGGGTCGTGTTCGGGTTGAGTTATTTAGTAGAATACCCTTAGGTCAACACAACACGATTATGACCTGCGAACACGAATTGCCACCCCTAACTATATAGATATATATGATTTTTGTTTAATTTTGCTTTGGCTTATCCAACAAATGGCAGAAATCCTCGTGTAGCCAAACAGATCAGTGAAGAAAAAGTGTTCTCTGTGCACCCTGCATAACTGTACACTGTTTCCCCTCCCATATAAAACCCAGAAACGAAGGAGTATCAAGAAGTATGAACTCAACTCAAACACCGCACATAACATCACATTCATCGTTTCAACTAAGAACTCTCTCTCAATGTGGGAACTTTTGCGCCAAATCATGGTGGGTAAGACTATTTAACCTCTGAATGGGCTCTGTATATATCTCACCCCCTCTCTCTCTCTCTCTATATATATATATATATTATATACACATGACTTATAAGTTAATACATCATTATCTCTCCAAGTTGGGTGAGTTGTCACCACATGATTGGTTCTCAAAAAATTTCATTCCACGTCATCAACTTAAGTGGCTGTGGCGGCAAAACAGCGTTGTTTTGATTAGTGGTAAAATAGTCTTTTAATATTTCCGTTAAGGGCAGCTGATCGGAATGTCCTTAATTGCTACAAAGCATGGGCAGCTGATCGGAATGTCCTTGATTTCTACAAAGCAATAGTTCAAGGGAGCATTTGTACTTTTGCTACAAAGCAATAGTTCAAGGGAGCAATTTGTACTTAGGGGGGTTATTTGCAGAAGAGCAATACTTCAAATATATATATAGATCCCACAACAATCACACACACACATATATATAACTATGTATTTATGTTACATAGATTTACTGAGGAAAGAAGAAATATTTTACACTGTATCTCCACAAAAAATTATATATATAAAATTTCAGATTCATCACTTATCTTCACTCCAATCTTTTCTTAGATCTTCAAAGTCATTAGTGATGCCGTTTTAATACTTTCCATCTCCTTTTGTCCGTCAATCGTGATGCAATGGATCTCCTTGGATGTTGTTGTAACCACATTCTTCCATCTCTCACGCACAAACGGGAAGGCATAACTTTTAGAGGGAGAAAGGACCATAGCTAGGGAGATAGAGTGAGACGGCAGAAAGTGCGATGGAAGGGCGTGAATCTTTGGGAACTGCAACTTTTGGAAAGAATGTAGGATTAGGTTTGGAAAGTCTAAACATGGGCTTCGTAATTTTATAGGGCTTATTGGGCCAATAAAGTATGGAATATTACTTTGGGTTAAACTTATGTCCAAACCAAGTTGTTGGGTCGATATAATTTGAAAACTAATCTGAATGTATAAATAAATGCATATATAGGCACACACAAAGATACATAATGGTCATGTTCACGAGCTCATTCACGAGCTTTGTTCACAAACATGCTCACGGACTAACAAGCCGAGCTCGAGCTTGTTTGAGATTGGCTCATTTATTAAACAAGCTTAGGAAAAAATGTTTAAGCTTGGTTCGTTTACTAAACAAATGAACACAACCTGAGCCCTTGTTGAGCAGAGCCTGAGTTGTTCGTTGAACGTTTTGTCCATTTATAGCCCTATTCCTGAGTTTCACCATTAAAATAAAATTTTCTGTTTCCTCCGAAAGAAGCGCAATATTCTAATAACACTGGTCTGCAATTAGTGTCAAAGCAGATGGAATGGGTTTGATTTTTTGTTTGATTGTCATTGATTGTGGTGGTTAAGTATATTTGGTATGGTGGAGTTACATTTGGTTGTTGAACCGTGGAACCGAACTAAACCAGTCCTTCATGGTATTGTTTGGTTCCTTTGGTCCTCATTGTTCGGTTTGGTTCTAATTTTTGTGGAACCGTTAGGACCAGTTTTGGTTCCAAAATACTTCCAAACCGGTCCAAACTTAACCATGTGCACCCCTAAATACAACACATCAATTAGGGTTTTTCGGCATGTCCAAAGAAAATTAGGGTGTACAGTGTTGAGTTGCCCTTAGTAAAAAGTGTTGTCAGGGGCTTATTTATTATTACTTATATAATGTTGGGGCTTATGTGTAATTTCTGAAACTTGTTATTATAAATAGAATGTGGTGGACGGATGAAAGTATTCTTTCATTCTTTCTCTTTCCCCATCTCTTTCTCTTTTTCTCTCATCCGCTTTTTTTTTCATTTACTCTTGATTTGATTGTATCTTAAAGTTAATAAAAAGTAGAAGTGTGCATGTAGGAAGCTGGCGAGGGGAATATCATAAAATCATTAAAAAAAAAGAAATAATTTATTTTTATTAAATTATCATTTAACAATATGAAATGTTTGGATATCAGTTTTAGCCCCCAAGGGAGCCAGTTGTGTATAAGCTTTAAGAGTCACTCGTCAGCCCATAGACCTTGTGATTTTTTATTATCTTGTTGACTAGTCTTACATCATTTATAGTGTTGCCAGATTTTAGGAGTTGCATACAAATGAGTATCACCATATGTGTTATTTTACATATTTGGTTTGCCTAGTGTAGCACCCCTTGATTAGGAATCTTTTTTTTTTTTTTTTTGTTCTTTGGCTCCTAATTCAATTGATTCTCTTATTGATAGGGCTTCTTGCTTCATGTTGGCATGGTCTGGTTTCAGGAACTTGGTCATATGCAAGTACAGGCAGCAACGATCCCATTGGTTACTCCAGCATGTGTGTAGGTGGTTTGTGTTTGAGCCTTTTGCCGATGTACCTATTGACTGCAAGTATTGCGATTGTTTTACCCTATTTAAGCTTTGAACTGGGTGCCGGTCAAGCGGTATTCCGGAGTGAGGAACAACTACGGTAAGCATCATCTAATGTATATATTCTCCAACTTTTGGAAGTGATTCTTATAAATGGTTATAAAAAAGGGTAAATATCATTTTATTCCTTGTTGATGGTGGCAGTTATGCAGGGTATTGGAGCATTAACTGAATATGACCAAGTATTAGCTATGTAATGGCCACACTTCATCATACAGAGATCAGTTGTGTATTTCTTAGGTTAAGCCTATCAAGATCAAAATAGATTGAATGGTTCTCAGTTAAATATCAGGCTGTTTTGGTGGCATTTCTTAGTTTTACAGCTAGTACATGTAATGTCATCGATATGTGCTCCAGATTGTGAAACAAAAATGTGAAATTGATCAATTTCTTTTCATCATTTATTTTTTATTTTTAAAATTTGAACAGATTCCGTTGGTATGCATGTTTAGTTGTGCATAGGTCTTGCAGGTACTTGTGGGTAAGAAGCATCTAAAGTAGAATTCCAGGGATATAAGCAGAGTGAAGATAGCTTACCTTACAAGTACACGGATGTTTAAATTTGTGGATGGAAGTGTCCAACATTGCTTTATAACTGGACCTGCCATTGAATATGTAATGGAAATGCAACTTTTCTTCAGTTATTTTATCATGAGTTATAATATATATATATATATCCTAAAATATGAGTGGATGAATCTATGTTTGGAAACCCATTTAGAGCACTGGAACTCCATTTAAAACAATGCCTGATCAATTGCATTATGTTTTTCAAATTTCATGTTAAATGGTTTATACCTTGTTTGGATGTGAAGAAAGTCTTACAATTGTGGTGTCTTTAAGATTTTATGCTTGGAGTGGTTGTAAAAGTTATAGTACTTTGTCGGCCCCCCTAATTTGAGTTTTGAACGGAAACAAATCACTATTTAGACCCTGGATGGGCGGGAAGTGAGTTAATGAATTATTGTGTTACTTTGAATGGAATTATGGAGCGCAATGGTGACTCCGATCGTGCTTAATCTTATGTCTTTATCGCGTAATAGATAAAGAGGACAACGACATTACATATTGGGTGTCTAAATTGGAGTTGTTGGTTCACCTACAATGCGAAATGGGAGACCGACTATATATATATTTATATGTTGTGTATTCAACGGATGGGATGGTCAGTGGTCCTGAGCCAATATCCATTGGCTTGGCTTGGCATTCAGATTAATATATGGACTCAACGCAACACAACAGAACACAATCTTGTTCCATATAAAAAAAATCCGGAATTTGATCTTTCCTTTTTGTCCGCGCATGCTCTCTTCTCTAACTCTCACACGGCATTATCACATTCAATGAATCCAAACCCTTTAGTAGTAGATGATGACAACACAGCCGAAGATAACACTTCACTGTTACAGCTCTCCTTCCGTATTTTGAAGGTGTAGCATTTATTTTCATCCACGACTGAATAATGATGTCTTTCCCTGTCAACTGTTTTCCCAACTTCCAAACAAGTTAAGGAAAAATGCTGAAATTAAGGAAAAATGCTGGATGCTCCGTGTCGTATAAGGAAGGAAAAAACTAAATTTATGTTAATCATTAGGGACGACGATTCTCAATCTGTTGGTGTAATGTGTTATATATCTTGATTAATTATGTTGCACATACATGTGTATATAGAACATTACAAACACAAATATATATATATACCACCAAAGTAAATCCAACCAACCAAAAAATTATGAAATTGTAAGTACCTCCATTGTACCAAAAACCATGTCAACCAACAGGATCAGTGTATCACCTTAATTAGCAGTCAAAAAGCTGAAAATTACTACTACATAACACGTGATGGAAGTTTTCATGTAATTAAGTACACCTCTTACTAAGTCAGTGAGTAATGATCAAACTTACATTCAAAGGTATTGGTGAGGGTTTTCAACAACTCTTCCTGCTTTCTGATCACAAGCTGGTGCAGGTGGTGGTGGTAGGGATGGGAAAATGTCCTGAAGAAGGGCTTGGTCTCTGAGCAAAGCAGAAGAAGATGGAGCACAAAAACGCCTCTGGTGGACAGAAATATTACTAGGAGGAGGAGGAGGAGGAGGAGGAGGATTATTATTATTATTAATAGAGGAAGTCAAATAGCCAGAATTGAAGGATTGATGAGATAAGGCGGCGCTGGGCATAGCATAAGTGGTGGAGGAGAAGTTGGAAGCCGGTGGGCGAGACATGACTAGTAGTGGGCTTGGATGGGTGTGTTTGCCTTCGTAGGTGGTCACAACTATGCTTGGATCATTGAAACACCGCTCCACTCTTTTCTTCACATTGCACGCACCATTAGTGCAACGATAGTAGCTCCTGATTCAATGCAAAATCTTCAAAGATGAGTGTGTGTCCACTTTTTCATATATATTCTATAATCAGTAAAGACAATTAGGATAGGAGTAGTAACTAAATGGGTGGTGGGTGTTGATGGAGCAGCTAATTAATTAATGAATACGTAATGTAGTAGTAGTATTGAATTTTAATTTGATGGATGGGGTTAGTAGTGGTACCTAGGAAAAGTGCTGTTTTTGACAGCTTTTTGGCCGTATTTCCTCCATCTGTATCCATCCTCCAAATGATCAACCTCACTCTTGGTCATGAATGCAAATCTTGGCTCCCTCTGCCTCTTCTGCTTCGTTTTCTTTGCTTTCAACCTAAATCCCCCAAAAACCAAGGATGTATAGCCTTTAGATCAATCAAATATTATATATAAAAGGGATGAAAGGAGGCAATTAATTAAAATCCTAGCTATTTCATTTGATTTGGAAATAAATAAATCAAGAGCAAGCTTACAGTTTTTTGTTGTTTTGGTGATGTTGATCTTCATCTTCATCATCATCTTCATCTTCATCTAGGGTGGGCTTGGTTTGTTGAATTAGTGTATCATTTGGTGGAGTAGTAGTACTAGTACCGGCACTTGATTGGGATTGGGATTGGGATTGAGATGAAATATTGGAAGAAGAGTTGGGTGTGGTGGGGCGGTGGTGGCGGTGGTGGATAAATGATGATGATGATTCCGGATGAACTAGTATTGAAGTAGAAGTAGTAGTAGTAGAAGATGGTAGTAATTGTAATACATCAAAGATGGAAGGTGGACTACTAGTACTATTACTAGTGATCTGGTCTTGAAAACCCAGTAACTCCATAAACCCTAATGAGCTCTTCTCATCATCGTCATCATCACCATCACCACCTATTTCTTCAACACACAAGCCCATCATACCTGTTACTGGGTTACTCACAGCAAGATGATCACAGAACGATCTCATCGATTCTTCTATCTTTATTGCTTCTTTCCTCTCCATTGATTCCATCATTCATCACCAATATATATATATATATATGTGTGTGTGTTTGTGACAGATCTCGATTAATTTATAAACTCTCCCTAGCTATGTGTCTCTTAGAATAAGAGATTAGCGTGTCTGTGTGAGACTCAGAGAGAGAGAGAGAGAGAGAGAGAGTGGTACCGGTAGATAAAGAGACGGAGAGCTGTGCCCTTTGAGAGAGAAAAAAGATGGTTTGCTTGTTGGGTTTGTAAGGTGAGGAGGGAGGCCAGTATGAACGCAGATAAAAGATAGAAAGAAGTAAATACTGAAGATGATGTTTTTGGATATTGGGAGGAATGGTGAGATTTGAGGTTGGCCACAAAAATTGACCGGCTATTCCCCGTCATTTCCATTCACTCTACGGATATCACAGAGTGGGTCCGGTTGCATTAAATGTTGTTACATGACTTGTTGGTGAAGCTGCAGAAGATGAATGAAATGAATGGTCGACCACGCTTTCCATACCCCATTAGTTTTGACCGCTAAACCGGTCAGAGTGTGAACCGGATTCCAATTACACGTCACGCGACATGATTACAGCAATTTTAGAAAGAAAGGTCTCCCACGTATGTACTATGTATATATAGTACTATTATATGCATATATGGGACCATTATATGCATGTATGTCCTCTACAGCCTACATGACCATTGACAAGTGTTTCCGCCTAACTCTCTCCCTCACTGTACATTTTTTTTTTCTTCTATTTATTTATTTTTCTTCTATTTAAACTGGTTCATAGCTTATATTATGACCAGACTGTCCTCTCTTAAGATATCTAATGACAAGAACATTGAGATGAAAATGTAATGTTATCATATATATATATATATACAGTGCAGATTTTTAAAATTTTGTGAAGCTTTTGTTTTAAAATTGCCCATGACTTAGATTTTTTCTTTTTTACTCATGTTCTTAAATTTAAGATCTTTCAAATTCATGGCCTAGGCAACAGCCTGAACCACCTAGGCCTGAGCCGGCTATATATATACAAATATATAACATTGTCATATATCTATATATACACACACTATTACTAATTGTATATATATTTCGAAGAAATTTTTTAAAAGATGTAACTCTTCCAAAAAGAAAATGTCATAACATTGTACCATTTATTTAGCTTTGACATACGGCCACAATCATGTAATTTTGAGAATGTGAGAGTAACAAAATAAAAAGAAAAAAAAAAAAAAAACTGTAATCTGAAAGGGGTCTAAGGGGACACAAAAAAAAAAGGGAAAAAAGTGAAAATTATATTATGCCTCGACAGGTCGGTGATGAATGTTGGATAAATGAAGAGCTCAAAAAAAAGATAAAAAAGAGTTTTCCATGCATGCGTCAATTTATTCTCCCTTTTTGGTGTGAACTGCTTGCAAGATTTCTGCACGTGTGATTCATTAACACCAAACACCACCGCTGCGGCGCCAGTCTCTGCCACTTCAAGTCCTACTGCTCACTATTCACTGCTGCAGCGTTTACTCTTCACAAAATGCTTCTCTAAACTAGGAGGGTGCTGAGTCAGGATGGTGACTTTCACAATAAAACAAAAAATATATAATATATATCTATATATCTATATATTTATAAATAATAATAATAATAATAGTTTTTGTTGTTTTTTGAGCTCCCAAACGTATCCGAGAAGCAATCATGGTCAAACAGTCACATATTTATTTAACTTTTTATTTTAATTAATTAATAGGAGTAAAATAATACTAGCTTCCAATAAGTAATAGTAGTATAAAGTTGAAAATGATATATATATACACACGTAGTAGTACAGGACAAGATAAAATAGAAGATATAGGGAGCGTATGTAAGAAGCAAGCTGAGGGAGGAAGAATATTCCAAAACCGTGTAAAAGGGTAGGCATGTGGTCCTGACGTCATGAGAAGGAAGGAGAACCGTCGGATGGGGGAGGTCCAACTGATTACATCAGTACACGTGTGAGGCTGGGAATGGTCAACATCCAACCGTCACGCATCGAGTTTCGGAGTGATGGCGACCCGAGCCGTGGATCACGGCTTAGTTTGATTTCATTTCATATAGGAGGAGTAGTACATACTGCATACTATACTACCTCACCATCCTCTCATGTTAGCCGTCACCACCATTCTATTCTGTACAATAATATAACCTGAAACAGATTTTTACATAAATTATACACAATTTTTTCCATTTTTATATTTATTTACACTAAATTATACCAATTATTAATATATATTGACTTTGAGTCAGATTAAGGCCAATCCGTTAATTATAACTGGAAAATGAAGTTTATAAGTCAGAGTTCTTTTTATTTTTATTTTTTTTATAACGTGTGAATCCGTGCAATTGCAACTATCCGTCTTTGAATTTGTAGTTACTAGATAAACTTCTGATTATTCACCTCGACTCCTCAACTCCACAATGCAAGTAGCATTTTAAATTGAGAGTATTAAAAGAGGTGGAAAGTCTTGAACACTGGCCGATGCAAGCCCCCGGGACTATTATGAGTCAAAGTTTTCACTTACAATTATTATTAATATGGATGGAGTGCTGCCTTTAATTGGTTCCGATCACTGCCGACACCTTTCCGTATGGATGTATGTATATATATATATATATATAGAGAGAGAGAGAGAGAGAGAGAGAAGCGTTAATTAACAAAAGCTAAACTTGGGTGGATTTCAACGATCAATTTATATTCAAATTATAAAATGGTGCATCCTATCACCATCATAATTAAGTTTCGGACCTTGCATCTAGGAGACTATAATGGAAGCACCACCAATGGCGATAACAAATAAACTTTGTTTGATTTTGGAATGTAAAATAATTCTATAGTACTGGAACACCGATTCAATATATATATATAATAATTCCTTTATTTTCATAATATTATTTGATAAGTTGAGTATATATGGTGTGTGTTGAGTATTGGAGTTGATAATGGCTTGTCCCGCTTTCACACTATATTAGTAGTATATTGGTATGGGAGGAGATGTTCCAAATCTGTGAATCTTTTGAGGAAAAAATTAGGCAGCACTCATATCATACAAAAAGATACAAGGTCGATGCCTTGTGGCCTCAGATCTCGCTCCACTAAGCCCAACACCCCACACACACACACGTTTTTATATAGTGTGAATAAATAATTATATTTTAATCATTTTCTCAAATCTGTGTAATTTAGCTGATGTACAGTAGCCCTCTTCAACTACACATCTCGGCTTTATATATATATAGGAGCATTGTTAATATATATAGCAGTATCCTGAAATCTGCATTCCTTGTTCACACTATCATTTCTCTTTCACTTTTTAACAAAAAAAAGAAAAAGAAAAACATGGTCTCGGCTAGCCCAATATAAGTCCAAAAACGGAAAACCCTTATATCAACTGTAACTTGGTTGGTTCTGATGCCCACTGGCCCAGTAATGGGGTTTTCACGCTGTAAAGAATAATAATAAGGATAAATCATCTTCATGCCAATGCCATGGATAAACCCACCTTGCGGCTGCCCCACTAACGGAACAAAGAGCGCAGGCAGATTACACAACATTAGTCTTGGTTCCAGGTATGAACTGAACCTATGATATATATATATATATATAATTAAAAGTGGCTTTCAAAAATGAATTGCGGCCTCTAATATTAAAAGCTCAAGCAAGTAAAGATTGCTATTCAGTAAATCTGAAATGCAACTTGAAAAGAAAATACAAACCCATCCAAATATACCCCAACAAAACTTTAAAGTGGTGCATTTTTTTTTTTTTTTTGTCACATCCATCCAACACAACCCTATATTACTGGGTTTAAATACCTCTTCTATCTTGAAGTCGCCAGTCTCTTGTTATTTATAACGCCAATTTTTTTGTGTCGTGTAATGAAAACACCGCATAGATACCATTTTTGTACAAACTTTTGAGTAATAAACAATGATTACTTAAACTTATTAAACCCATCAGGCCACTTAATGTGTTGTACACACCATGTACAATGAGAGTCATTTCATTTATAATGAGAGTCATTTCATAAATAAAAACTTATGTGTAGAGTGACCAATTTTATTCAAGAAAAAAATATTTTTTTAAGAAAATATAATTTCCATTACTTATATCCTTTGTATATTTAGCTATATATTCACATAATAAATCATGTTATATAATCAAAGGAACCTTTGACTCAATTCTAGAGTGAATCAATACAAGGAATCATCATATATGTATGCATGCAAACTAAAATAACAGTTTTATTAATAAAATGTCGAATATAATAAAAGATCAACTTACAGGGCACACTCAATTTCAATATTATAGAGTGAAGTGTTTTATTCAAGAAAAAAATAATTTTTTAAGAAAATATAATTTCCATTACTTATATCCTTTGTATATTTAGCTATATATACACATAATAAATCATGTTATATAATCAAAGGAACCTTTGACTCAATTCTAGAGTGAATCAATACAAGGAATTCATCACATATGTATGCATGCAAACTAAAACAACAGTTTTATTAATAAAATGTCCAATATAATAAAAGATCAACTTACAGGGCACTCTCAATTTCAATATTATAGAGTGAAGTGTTGAGCTTTAAAAAAAAAAAAAAAAACAACAACAACCCGCTATCATATATAGATTGTTATTAGACCAGTCATTTTGTATGAAATGGAGTATTGGGCCCTAGAAGAAAAAATCAAGAATAACACTTTCATGTAAAAAAAATGAGAGTATTAATGAATCAGTGGAGCGACTAAAAGAAAGAGAAAAAAAATATATATGAGAGGAAAATTATGTGTAATATCCACTGATGAGAAATTTAGAGAATAACTTTAAAATAAAATATATTAAAAAAAAAAAAAAAAAAACTAGAGAAAGTAAAGTTAAATGGTTTTGGCACATACATTGAAAAAAGAATGACATATACATCATTCTTAAATGCAAAAAGAAGAATCTTAAGAAGTAGGAAAAAAAAAAAAAAAAAAAAAAAAACCGGTTAAAGGAAAAAAAATTAAAGTTTGAGTAAAGAAGGAAATTTCATTTATTTATTTATTTTTTTAAGGAAATCTAAGGAATATTAAGAGCAAAAGAAAAAGAAAAAGAAAAAAAATATATAGATGATAATTTTAGAAATTAAAATATTTAGGGGGCATTGTATAGAAATTTTCTTATAAATGTAAAAATAAATTTAAAAAATTACTACTCCTTTAGAGAGTACATTTATACTGGGCGTGCCAAGTCAAGGGGGAACACATCGGCTCCGCCCCCACTAGACAAGTGTTGATTAAATAAGGAAGGAGAGATAAAAAGTTTGTATCGGGTTACACGTGTAACCCATTTAATAAATAGGTCGGTTAAACGAATATTAAACGGGTCGTGTTCGGGTTGAGTTATCTAAAAAAGAAGACGATTTTATCTTATGCGTGTGTGAGACCTGGTAGCGGGCTTTCCATCTTTTTAACTCACTATTCCTTCTCTCTTCCCACCAAATCCCCATTGATGCCAATTATCTCCCCAATTCTAAAACCCTAATATTAATCATCTCTTTTGCCGACGGACCTCCACCAGCTCCACTGCTTGCCACCTCCTCCATTCTCAAACCATAATCTTTTACATCCAATCTTTAGAGATAATTTAAGCCGCCAATTTATAAATACACATAACTTTAGTGGCATCCAAAATTTTAAGATTTATCCTCACCTGTCGTAATCTGAAGCCAAATTGATTTCCTTAAACTCCATAATTGAAGTCTTACAATTGTAGTTAATTTACCATATTTAAGCTAATTGTTTAATTTTTTCTGTAGCGGATTGCAATATGTGCATGATCCGCAAAAAGATTCAAACAATTTTTATTAATTATTTTAAAAAGTTTTTGATCCGTTTTAGCGGGACGTTCCTACTTATGTGGTCTAAGGTGAGTATTGTTTAAAAATAAATAAAAAAATTTTTTTGAAGAGAGATAATTTATGTATGTAGGAACCCTATTCATATGAAATTCCAACAGAATAAGATGATATTGATGTAAGATGCAGGAAAAGTACGATTGGTCACTTTAATAAGAAACCACATTTAATGTTTCCTTATTCATTATTTCAAAGTACTTGGTAAAATTACAACAGCGCGTAGATACTCCATAAGTTGCACATACATTGCTTCCTATTTATATTATGGTGCCTCTTAAGTTTTAAATTTTGAGATTACAACCCACCACCAACACCTCCACCACCTCCCTTGCCACCTCCGCTTCCTCCCCCAAAGCCACCTCCAAATCCCCCTCCAGCTCCACCTCCTGCACCTCCACCACCTCCGACTCCACCTCCTGCCCCTCCTCCAAAACCACCACCTGCACCACCGCCAACACCACCACCTCCACCTGCACCACCCCCAACACCTCCTCCTACTCCACCACCTGCACCACCCCCAGCACCGGCACCTCCCCCCACACCACCACCCTTACCACCTCCAAAGCCTCCACCTGCACCACCCCCAACACCTCCTCCTGCACCACCACCTCCTCCTACTCCACCACCTGCACCACCTCCATGGCCAGCACCGGCACCTCCCCCAACACCTCCACCTGCACCACCCCCAACACCTCCTCCTACACCACCACCTGCACCGCCACCTCCGCCTGCACCACCACCCTTACCACCCCCAACACCTCCACCTGCACCTCCACCCTTGCCACCTCCAAAGCCACCACCCGCACCACCCCCAGCACCAGCACCTCCCCCTACACCACCACCCTTGCCACCCCCAGCACCACCTCCAATGCCTCCACCTGCACCACTTCCTCCGCCTACACCACCACCCTTACCACCTCCAAAGCCTCCACCTGCACCACCCCCAACACCTCCTCCTACACCACCACCTGCACCGCCACCTCCGCCCGCACCTCCACCCTTGCCACCGCCTGCACCACCCCCAGCACCTCCACCTACACCACCACCCTTACCACCCCCAACACCTCCACCTGCACCTCCACCCTTGCCACCTCCAAAGCCACCACCTGCACCACCCCCAGCACCAGCACCTCCCCCTACACCACCACCCTTGCCACCCCCAGCACCACCTCCAATGCCTCCACCTGCACCACTTCCTCCGCCTACACCACCACCTGCCCCACCTCCAAATCCTCCACCTGCACCACCCCCAACACCACTGCCTCCACCTACACCACCACCAGCTCCACCTCCAAATCCTCCACCTGTCCCACCACCAATGGTCTCTTTCTCAATTCTCCGTCCTTCTCCTATTCCCACAACAAACAACACCAATATCAATGACATTGCAAACAGCACGCCAACATTCTTGAAAAACTTCCCCATCTTTCACCCAAAATGGAAAATGGGAAGGCAAATGCTGATCTTTTACAATCAATGACTAATGCCTAGCAATATATATATACAGGAGAATAGTAGCTAGAAAGCAGCATAAATGCATGCAGTTGAAGTAACATGTCTGTGTGTGTTCAAGTCGTCTTGACGTAGGATATTGTTCAAAGCCGGTGCACTTAATATTGAATTTCAACTCTCAACCAACTTAATGCTCCCTGCATTTTCATGTGTGGACTATCTCTCTCTCTCTCTGTATGTGTGTGTGTGAGAGAGAGAGGCTCTACGTACACATACCAGTGTGGGATACAAGTTTAAGCATTGGCTTTTCTATCTATTTGCTAGGCAAAGCAGGAGTCATATATTCGACCAATTTAATCTGCCCCTAAAAAGAGTACTGCTAACTTCAATCAATCATACACTATACTAGACAATCATTTACAATGATGTATCTATCTGCTGAGCTAAATTCATTCCATAAAATGTTAAAGTGGAACCGGATCAAGAGGATGGGCTTATACTAATTAATTATATAATAATCGCACATATATAACAGCTAGCACCTCATTCAGTTCAACAATACAAATTATTTACTAACGGGATTCAGTATATATATATATATATATATACTCTCGTTCACGTGCACTAGCTACATTCTTTTTTCTTAATTTCTTATGCATTATGGGTAGAAGTTACTTTCTGTTTACACAACACGTACAGAGTACACGTACAATTTGATTGTGCTATTATAGTTTTATGCAATAGAGTTTTTTATTTTTTTTATCTTAGTAGCTACTACGTACCCAAAAGAGAGAGGAAATTAAGACGACACTAAGCTATACACTTGGTTTGGTTTAAACGTACATGACCATATATGCACATTGAGAGCAAGTTTTTATTATTTATTTGATGTAAGAGCTGTTTTCTTTATTATCTCATCGATCTCAAATAGAACCCTTACTCAAACTCAATTTAGCTTACCTGCTTCTTGATTTTGAGCCATATATGTTCAAACATACATGATCGATCAGTGTTTCATTGATCGATCAGTGTTTCAGTCTTAGCTCGATGAACTGGTTTCGAGGCCCATGAAAATTGGAAATAGTGTTTGTTGTTTCACAAGGAGATCGAAAGCTTAGTAAATTGATCACAAAGTGGCAATAGTAGTTAGTTTGCAATGATAGGTACTGTGGTGAGCTTAATTCCGTAATTAATTGTTGGATGGATGGATGTCCCAATAACTACTACTACTGACATGTACTACTGGGCTTATTATGTCGGTGCTAGACAGCAAGTCCATCGTCGACTTACATACAATAATTAAAATTGAAATATTGGAGAAAGATTTCAAAGGTTGCATTCATTTGTCTCGCAATTATCTCAACAACCTTGCGCCCGCCTTCAATTTCTAAAATGATTAATTAATGCGTTAAGAAGACCGCCGTCTCTATCCCAACCAAATATTTTATCAATGAAGAACGTACATCTAATTAAGAGAGACAGAAGAAAAGTAAAATTAAGAGCACATACTTAAAATACATTTACTACTATTTTTCCACATGGCTTTTATTTCTTGGCCCCCGGCTTCTTTTCTGGTCGCCAACTTTGACATTTTTTATTCAACCAAATCTTAAGCATCTATATATAATAAATTAAATGTGCTGAAAAATTGTGCTTTTTAACAGTTTAAAATTAATTCATTCCGTACCTATCTAAAAACTATTCTCAAACTTCTTTCAAATTATTTGAAAAACATAAAACAAATTTATTTTACGCAGAAGATTTTCATTTACTTTTGTGGATTCTTTTTTACCGTTGGGGGACAAAGGTGGAAAGGGCTAGTTCTTTCCCTTAGCCACAATTTTTTTATTAAATTATAATTCTGAGATAAAGTGTAAATGAAATGAGGCTTCCAACTAAATTACACAATCTAGAATAATATTCAGTTTTGCCATTATGTAATAATGAAGAATAATTACTCAGATTTTATATCGAGTGTAAAAGAAGTTCTAGGTCACTAGGTGCTTGTTTGATAACTCAATTCATTATTGATTAAGCTCGTTTGATAACCTAATTTCAATATCACTAAAAATAGGTAAGCGTCGCTTACAATGTAATAAAATTTAAGTGGCAAATAATACATTTTGTCACTAAATGCTAAATGCTGAAAATTCAAAATGATATAAAAAATTATTTAATTTTTAATTACCACTTAAAATTTAGCTCTTATATTTTTCAATACTTAATTTTTAATTTTACCAAACATCACGATAATATGAATGTTGTGATATTTTAACTAAGAAGGAATAAAATGGCGACTAATATTATGTTGTGCTTAATCTCTTATCAGTCACACTACTAGAATTAGGCAGCTTATAAGTACTAGCATAAAACATTTATTGAACTCGTTATAAATATAATTTTCAAAATACCTTTGAATCTGTTTTATTATTTTATTTTATTAATTAGATAAGTAGTTACATATATTAGCAAATAAATTATCTACTATGTAACTTGAATCCCTCAACTCCCCTTGAGGGAGGAGAGATTTGTCCCCTATCTTCAACGGTTACATTTTGATTATTCAACTTCTTGCAGAATCTTAATTAAATATATTGGTTATGGTTATTTATATATTTTACTAATTTAGGAATGGCAGCGGGGTGGGAGACTCTCGGTTCTCATCTTTTTAAGTTCTCTTGTTTTGTTTTCAACTAAAATTATTTAGCAAACGACTTCACATATTCTGTTTTTGGATGTTTAAATTCCTACTCAAAATCTTTTTCTCTTTTCTTTTTTTGTTCTAATTTTTCCATTCAAAATTTTAAAAACAAATATTTAAAAATATAAATCAAATAAAAGTTATTTTAAAATGTACAAAATTGTACCAAATAAACACTAACCTTCTTCTAACAATAAGTGTAATTCTGTATGTAACATAGGGTATAAGGATAAAAAAATATATTTTTCATTATAAATGCGTCGAGGTGACCTTTCTCCGTCTCGGTCCAAAACCATTAAATGGACCTCCACAACTATTTTAAAAAGTGCAACGGGTACCTATGTAATGTTTCTAATTTTTGCCATTTTTCATTTTCTAAAATTTTCTGTTTTTGCAAGGACATTTTCATCTTTTATCGTATTGCGTGCCGGACACCGTGGGGTGTACCGGTTGTGTCCGAGTGTTGGTTGGGACATTTTATTGAGTTCAGGACTCTTTGAAATGTAAGGTTTGTCATTTTTGCATTTTTCGTTTTTTTTGGCCGGACGGTCCCGTATGGGACCCGCTACTGGAATTGTTGCATACGGGAATTTTAGTTGGGTCCATTTGTATCATGTCATTTTTTTTAATGTATATTGTGTAGTTGTAATTTATTATGGGTATATATATATATATATTTGGGGTTGAAATTAAAGAGAAAAGATTTTTTTTTTTTTTTTTAAAAAAGGTGAAACCCACCATTATTGATTGTAAGGCCAAGATGGCCTCACAATTCTCTCTCTCTCTCTCTCTCTCTCTCTCTCTCTCTCTCTCGTAACTCACTCTATCCCCTTTTCCTTTTCTCATTTTATCTTTTTCTTACCATGTGAATTTCATTTCTTGATTTCTCCTTCAATTTTTGGTATATTTAGATGCCGTTTGTGGCAAATTAAAAATCACGGCGAGATCTACGATTTAATCGGAGCAATTCCTTGTTTGGTGCACTCTAGGAATTTTGAAATCCAGGGCACAAATTTGAGGGTTTTTGCAATTCTTGAGGTTGGGGTTTCTAATTCCCAATTTATTGCGTCCTTTGTAAATTTTCTTTCAATATGTGATGTTAAGCATGCCTAATTTGAATTGATTGCCATGAAGATGATATAATTGTTGTATTTGGAATCTATGATTATGTGTATTAATTAAATTGTATGAATAGTATGCCTAAATGTTAATTTTTTATGTCATGGTGTTTATTACATTGCTAGAAATTGTTATGTGGAAACATGTTGAATTTTTTTTTTTCCTAATTGGGACTCACACACACTACCTCTACTAAGGTTTGAACCCCTAACCTCTCTTTGGGAAGTAGGAGTCTTGTACCATTAGGCCACAGCCTGTTGGTGAAGCATGTTGAATTGTGTAGTAGAAATTCTTTTATTTACATTGTAATATCAAAGGATGAGACATGCATTCATAGCATTGGGTATGAAAAAAGGGCAAAATGATTTGAAATGAAAGAGAAAGGGTTTTTGGAGAGAAATTTAATAAAATGGTTTTAAGAAAATTCGATCGCCATGGAGTCACCAAAGGGCCGTAGTGTTAATATAACCTAGAGGGAACTAGAGAAACAACCTAGCGTGGTTGAGCTATTTGGGCCCCAAATGACGCCGCGGGGGTACCAAGAGTCAAGGACAGTAGCCAATCCTTCTTTTGTGTCGCTGCGGAGTCACCAACGAACGGGTTATATTAACAGTTTGTGAAGTGATGGATAATTTTGAAAATGAGGAGTGACATACATGACATCGCATTTCATGGCACGGCATTGTTTATTTTAAAATTGGATTTGATGTTGTACTCTTTCCCGGTATAGTGTGACCCCTATCCTCTATTTCTATTCATTGTTTGGATTCACTGGGTTCTAAGAGGTGTGTCTTAGGCACCACCTACTGAGCAAACTTTGCTCACCCCTTCATATTTAAAATTTTTCAGGGCTCGGAAAGGATGTAGTGGACGTCGACGTTTTGTGTTATCCCCGAATTTCCAGATGCGGGTTGGCCAGGCCTACGCTAAAATGCCCGAGGATATCAAAAACAAATAGTAATAATCAAACACGGAATACAAATAGGATAAATAGGAATAAATAAAATTGTTGAAAGAAACTAAAACGATAAATCCATTGACGAAATCCTCAAAATAAATTCTTATAAATAAATTTTTCTGATACAAATAATCCTCCAACTTGTACAACTCGGGAATCCATACTCTGTGGACCCCTGGAAAATCAAAACTAAACAAATGACAGATATAACTGTCTACATCAGAAAATTGAAATATAA